AAAGGTCCAGTGGGTAAGATTTAGGTGAAAGGAATTTATTGGCAGAAACTGAATCTAAAATAATCCTAATGATGTTTTCACTAGTTTGTAAATTTCACAAATTGTTTTTTTCTTTACCCTAGAATGGTTCCTTTATATTGAAATACTCTTATATTTACATCAGCTGACTTACCCTCGAGGGTGTTTGTCCAGTTCATTGAGGACCGTTTGTTCACAGAACTCAAACACTAAGTGGAGCCGTCTTTTCCTCCTGAACACCTCCAGCAGGTTGACCAGATTCACATGTTTCAGCTGCTGCAGGATGAACAGAGGATATGGACACTCAATGTCAGCACTTCACAGGCCAGAAAGTTGAATTAAACCTACAGAGACTCTGAGGCCCGCAGCCACCCTGACAACCTTCAAAACCCTTTTATTTTCTGCAGCCTCATAGTGTTGTGCATGTTTTTGTTTTTTTACCTCCGCCAAGGATTTCATCTGCTAGTTAGCAGAATTACACAAAAACGATTTGATGGATTACCATGAAATTTGATGGAATGACATCAACCTTCTTCTTAAGAATAATTCATGGATCTTGATGGCCATGTTTAGGGGACTGATATTCATGAGTGTGTTCAATTAGGTGCAGGTGAAAATCCAATCTGGATCTAGTGAATTTAAATGTTGTTTCATAAGGGACCACAGCAGAGTTCGGCTTCATTATAATGCTGTAATATTAGTAAGATGATAGTAAGCATGATGAATTCCTAACAAAGTGACAAAAGGTAGGAACTTAAAAACAGTAACTTAATGAGATGTATGTGGACCTGTGTGCCTGCTGACGGTGTTAGATGTAAACAAACCTGATACTCTTGAGTCATACTCATCTCTTCTCACCTTCAGCATACGTATTTCTCTCAGTGCGATCTTCTTGATGACTGGGTCGTCCTCGGACTCCACAAACTTCTTGATTGCCACGATTTGACCAGTGTCCCTGTGTTTACATTTGAACACCACGCCGTAGGAACCCTCGCCAATTTTGGCCAGCTTTTCATATTTCTCCATTGGGCAGTTGGTTGCTGTCACCTGTTAAAACAAGTCAAATGTTAGTTGTAGTAAAAGTAGTAGTACTTGTTCATTCCTCAAGTACAATAACATATAGGTTCCATGTGTGTTTGTAATATGACTAGCTACTAGTCAAACTACTGCAGTTTGACATAATAACCTTACAAAACTGAATAATGCACCTTTTCATTATTATTTTTCCCAGGGTAACCTGTGAGATGATTCCACAGTCTTTGAGTAGCATTCTCTTTAACCAGTGCTGTTTTTTGTGCATGTCAAAATCATAGACTGTATATGAACATACTATATTTATGTACATACTTTATATAAACGTATAGTACTTCATGTTCACAATACCTAGAATACACTCTGAAGCAGCTTATTGTGCTTTCAGTCACACCTATTGAGTCTATGCTTGTCATATGATCTAGTGAAATTAAATGTTGTTTAATAAGAGGCCGCAGTGGAGTG